TATAAAAAAGAAAAAGAATAAAAAGGACAGAAAGAAAGAGTAAAAAGGAATAAAGTATAAAAAAATAAACAAAAAGTGTAAAAATGGAAAGTAAAAAAACAAAAGAAAAAGAAAAGAAAGAAAAGTAAAAACGAGAGAATAAGTAAAAAAAGTAAAGAAAAAGGAAAAAAAGTGTAGAAAAGATAAGAAGAAAAAAAATGAAGCACAGAGTAACAAAGGAGAGAATAGTAGAATAGGAAAGAACGAAAGAATAAAAAAAAAAGAGAAAAGAAAGAAAGAGTAAAGAAAAAAAGAAAGAAAGAAACGATTTTTCCTATTCTTCATCATCCTCAACATTACCATGTCTTGCATGGCGTCGTCTGTCGGGCGTTATTTGTTGCACTTCGACCGACATGTCTGGCACATTCAATGAGAGACGTGTCGTTTAAGCGACACCCGCAAATAATACTTCAAAAACGCTTCGCTTCGCTTATTAAAACGACCCGTCGCGATATGTCACGTGACTGGCGTCTCCATAATGTTGCGGGAAGATGGTTGTCTGCAAAAAGACAATGACAGGTTGAGAAAAGAAATGCACAGAAAATTAGTTACTGGTCTGTCTGTCTGTCTGAGGATGCGCTTGCACGCGTGGGAGAGTTGACAAATGTAAATCATGGTGGGCGCTGGTAGAGAGAGACAGACAATTTTTGGGAGACTGCATACTTAAAACAATTTGAATGCAAGAAAACAACACGAGACGTGGAGAGAAAGGCTTAAAAATCATTGGAAGAGAAGTAAAGAAAGACAAAAGAAAGTGTGTTAGAAAAATCTACACGAACAAAAAAGAAAGAAAGAAAGAAAGAAAGAAAGAAAGAAAGAAAGAAAGAAAGGTGTTCAAAGCGGAGTGATACAAAAGTGGAAAGAAAGAAAGAAAGAAAGAAAGAAAGAAAGAAAGAAAGAAAGAAAGAAAGGAGTTCAAAGCGGAGTGATACAAAAGTGGAAAGAAAGAAAGAAAGAAAGAAAGAAAGAAAGAAAGAAAGAAAGAAAGAAAGAAAGAAAGAAAGAAAGAAAGAAAGAAAGGAGTTCAAAGCGGAGCGATACAAAAGTGGAAAGAAAGAAAGAAAGAAATAAAGAAAGAAAGAAAGAAAGAAAGAAAGAAAGAAAGAAAGGTGTTCAAAGCGGAGTGATACAAAAGTGGAAAGAAAGAAAAGAAAGAAAGAAAGAAAGAAAGAAAGAAAGAAAGAAGTTCAAAGCGGAGTGATACAAAAGTGGAAAGAAAGAAAGAAAGAAAGAAAGAAAGAAAGAAAGAAAGAAAGAAAGAAAGAAAGAAGTTCAAAGCGGAGTGATACAAAAGTGGAAAGAAAGAAAGAAAGAAAGAAAGAAAGAAAGAAAGAAAGAAAGAAAGGTGTTCAAAGCGGAGTGATACAAAAGTGGAAAGAAAGAAAGAAAGAAAGAAAGAAAGAAAAGAAAGAAAGAAAGAAAGAAAGAAAGAAAGAAAGAAAGAAGTTCAAAGCGGAGGATACAAAAAAGTGGAAAGAAAGAAAGAAAGAAAGAAAGAAAGAAAGAAAGAAAGAAAGAAAGAAAGAAGTTCAAAGGGAGGATACAAAAGTGGAAAGAAAGAAAGAAAGAAAGAAAGAAAGAAAGAAAGAAAGAAAGAAAGAAAGAAAGAAAGAAAGGAGTTCAAAGCGGAGTGATACAAAAGTGGAAAGAAAGAAAGAAAGAAAGAAAGAAAGAAAGAAGTTCAAAGCGGAGTGATACAAAAGTGGAAAGAAAGAAAGAAAAAAGAAAGAAAGAAAGAAAAAAGAAAGAAAGAAAGAAAGAAAGAAAGGAGTTCAAAGGGAGGATACAAAAGTGGAAAAAAGAAAGAAAGAAAGAAAGAAAGAAAGAAAGAAAGAAAGAAAGAAAGAAAGAAAGAAAGAAAGTTCAAAGCGGAGTGATACTAAAGTGGAAAGAAAGAAAGAAAGAAAGAAAGAAAGAAAGAAAGAAAGAAAGAAAGGTGTTCAAAGCGGAGTGATACAAAAGTGGAAAGAAAGAAAGAAAGAAAGAAAAAGAAAGAAGTAGTAAGGGATATGCAATAAATGAGAAGGACAGAAAAAAGAGGGAGAGAAAGAATCAGACAGAAATGGGAAGGAAAAAAGGAAGTACTAAGTAAATTAACCACATAAGAAAGAAAGATTTGATTGATTCATTTTCTACGGCTTATAAGCACGACAAAGGACCTGAAATTCAGGCGAGACATGACGTCATGAAGAAATACAGCACATAGAAGAAGATTGTCAGCCATTATTCTTTTTTACACTAAAATTTATTTCTTTTCAATTATTGATTGATTGATTCGTTTTCTGCGGTTTATCAACCTCTTGCAGGTTATTTAAAGCCAGAAAATATTTGCAGATTGTAAGAATTTTAGGGCTGATAATAATGGTTCACTGACACAAGTTCGAAAAGTTGGAGAAAATGATATATAAACTTTTGCATACCAAATTGATGCTAGGATAATTAATGACAAATGTGGAAAATCTACTTCCGGTTATTGACCTAACTACATATGAGCACGAAGTGAAGGGAAATATATATATATATATATATATATATATATATATATATATATGAAAATTTCGCAGAGTTAACCTGTAGAAAAAGACAATATGTATAAAGGTAAAAACAATAGCCGAAGCGTTTCGTCCAATATGGACTTTTTCAAGTCAAAAACTAAATTAATTTATTGAAAACAAAGTATCTATTAACAACAAGCAAAATGTCCTTAGCAACTAGAAGAATTCACAAGAACTCTTGTATATTCATAGAGTCCACTGAGTCAATTACTTTCACGTGTGGAATATTTTTTCTATTGTTATTTTGACGGATTCAATTATTTTTTAATTTCTTGATATAGTTGTGTACGTTGCCTTGGAAGAGTAGTAATTCTGTTAGGAAAGGAGATATTGGGAAAAATCCTGGGTCTAAATTATAATATTTGAATAATATTCAATGTCGGCACTCTCGAGGATTTTCCTTCTGAATTATTTTCTTTTTTATGAATGTAGCATTTTTAAATCAAAATTGTGGTTGAATTTATTTCTATGCATGACTAGTGCATTAATTAAGTTGTTTTTGTGAGGTCTCTTTTGTACTCATAAATGTGTTGTTTTTTTTTTGTTTGTTTTTTGGTGTTTTTTTTTGTTTTTTGGTGCTTTTGTGTGTGTGTGTGTGTGTGTGTGTGTGTGTGTGTGTGTGTGTGTGTGTGTGTGTGTGTGTGTGTGTGTGCGCGTGCGTGCGTTTGGGTATAAAGACTGATATTTATTCGTACAAAAAGTACAAATTGTGGCACGAGGCCAATAAAGGGGAGGGGTAGAGGCTGGTCAACACTAACTATCTTATATCTAGCTAATCAGATTCGCGACCCATTCGTACATTACATTTTACTCATTCACCAAAAGAACTCGTCCATCACCAAACAATCCTTCAACCACCATAATGCCACGTGCTCTCAAGGGAGACCTACCAAAATCGCGCCCCATGCCATAAAAAATTTTAATGATGATATATATATAATTCTAATAATGATAAAATGAGAAGGGAGGAAATGAACCCAATAATAAACATAAAATAAACACAAATACAAACTAAACATAATTGATGTTAGTAGGGACCGTCCAACCCATAAAACAGAGAGACCGCTGTATTCTGCCCAGGGGACAAAATCAAGAGACGCTCTCGCTAAGGGAGTGGGAAAAAGTATAAAATATTAGGCTGGAATGGGAAAATATAAAACTGACCCAGTCGAGATGAAAGGGGGGGGGGTCAAAACAAACTGGGGAGGTTGGGAATCTCGACTTGGATCATAACCAAAGAACGGCCGGGATGCAGGCCAGGAACAACACTTACTCACATTAACTAGGTACACTGAAGCTTGTCTAACCTAACCAAGGGGAGGGTTCCACAGGAAGCCACCCCGATGTGCAATAGGTTGATCTAGAAGAGAAAATCAAGGCTAGCCCCGTTCACACGAAGCAAGCTCGCTTCTTTTACCCACCTTTCGCTAAAGACTGTCGAATGCAATCGTTTTCTATCCGATCTAATCTTCATCTTGAGCTGATGCTCAAAGAATCGAATTAGATCCGAATGAGAAAGACGATTGCCTCGCAAGACTTCCTCCTTTCGCGTCGTCCAAATCACCATTCGAGCCGTGGCCATCAGCGTCAGAAACACCATCCGTTTCATCCCGGAATACGGGGGCGACACATTGTCACACGCGTATGCGCGATCAATGGACACAAGCTATTCGGGAGCGAGACGAGCCGTCAGCTCGCCGACATGGTCCCATAAGCGGCGGACCTGGGGGCAATGGTAGAAGGCGTGCGCAGCCGTTTCTTCTAAGCCAAGGCCACACCGTTCACAGTCTGGCAAATCCGCCAAGCCCCATATGAAAGCCTTGTCGTTGAGAGGCAGCCGATTCCGAGCCAATCGCCAGCTAAGTGAAAACTCAGGGTTACTGAGGTAATCCGCCGCTGGCGCCCAAGACCAGTAGGGAGCGATACTCTCCTCCGACATGCCGAGCATATCTCGTAGGGGATCCTTCGCGGGCCTCCCACTAATTCACGATAGAAGACCTTCCTAGGCCGAGAAAGGTCAGTGGACCGGGAACGGCCCTCAAGGCCGACCGACACTCGCGAAGGAAAACCGATTGATCTCGGGTTTACGACCGCGCTCAACACGCGAGATGGGGGACTGATGGTAAGGCCAGGAACGCGTCCCCAACAATCCCTCCAGAATCGGATCTCCTCCAGTCAATGCGCGGCGTAGGAAAGCCAACCTAGAGGCACGGATGTGACTCGGCAGGTGCGGCATTCCCAGCCCCCCCTGACACGAACGTTTAGTGCAGACTCGTCTGTCGACCCGATTCCCGCGTCCCCTCCATAAAATGGAGGATAGCGAGCGCTCGAGCGCCTTCTTGTGGGTCTTACAGAGAGGAAGTACGGACAATCGATAAAGAATCAGGGGGAAAATGTATGTAGCACACACCTCCGCCCTGCCCTTCACGGACAATCTCCGTCGATTCCAAGTCTGACCGGCGGAATCGACCTTTGCTCGTACTTCAGACCAATTCTTCTCCAGCTGGAGGTCAGGCCCAAACCAAACGTTTGGGTATAAAGACTAGCGAATTTCATTTAGTTTCTTTTTGGTTATGTTTTTATCAATTTCGTTATGACGTATCCAGTATTATGATAATGGAAGATCAGCAAGTTAGAAATGAAGCAGGAACGCGAATTTACAGTGTCTGATATAGCGATTAAAGTATTTTCGTCTTAGTCAATTGTTTTCTCTTTTATTGAAGATAGCTTTTTATAAAACGAACATTTTAATAAATATTCCAGACCTACAAAAAACAAGAAAGCGTGGAAACGTTTGATCGCTCACGTCCTGAAATAACATGAGACATAATAGATTTAGTCATAAAACTTAAGATGTCACCTACAAAATCCCCATGGAAATTCCAATATTGCATTGTTAAATATTTGAGCAAATCCACATGGAATTTCCACCGCTGCATCGTTAAATATTTGAGAAGATTAACACGGAAATTTCACTATTGCATTGTTAAATATTTGAGCAAATCCACATGGAATTTCCACAATCGCATCGCTAGATATTTGAGAAGATCACGATGGGAATATCACTATTAGATCGTTAAATGTTTGAGCAGATCCCCAAGGAAATTCCACTACTGCATCACTAAATATTTAAGCAGATCCCCACGGAAATTCCACTATTGCATTCTAAAATAGATGAGTAAATCACCATGTAAATTTTACTATTACGTTATTAAATATTTGTGAAACTGCCCACAGAAATTCCACAATTTCATCGTTAAATTTTTGAGCAGATCCTCATGTAAATTACACTATTGCGTTGTTAAATATTTGAGCAAATCTCCATGTAAATTTCACTATTTCATTGTTGTATATTTGAGCAGATCCCCATGGAAATTCCACTATTGAATGGTTAAATATTTCAGCAAATCCCTATGGAAATTTCACTATTGCATCGTTACATATTTCATCAGATCCCATAGAAACTGCACTATTTTATCGTTAAATGTTTGAGCAAATCCCGATAGAAATTCTACTGTTGTATTGTTTGACCAGATCCCCATAGAAATTTCACTAGTCCATCTTTAAATATTTCAGCTACAAAATCCACATAGTCATTCCCCTATTCCATTGTTAAATATTTGAGCAGATTCCCATGGAAATTCTACCATTGCATCGTTAAATCTTAGAGTATATCCCTACAGAAATTCCACTATTTCATCATTAAATATTTCAGCAGACACCATGGTATTTCTACTATTACACCATTAAATATTTGAGCTTAATAACTTTAATAAAATGTTGCAATAACAATCATAAGTATAAACGCAGTTCATTATTTAATAAAGTAAGGAGGCACAAATATAAAAATTCAAAATTGACACGGTTTTTCTTTACATTTAAATATCTTTATAGCATTTTATTATAATACTTTATTCTAATTCCAGTCGGGTTCTTTACATCCACTTACGCGCAAATATCCTTGGGAATTGTATGAATCTACATCTTCTCCCTCATACTATGGGTTAAATAGTAAAACGTTATTATATCAAAAGAACTTTTTAGTATAATATACACGCGAAAAAAGAAAAATAATTTTTTTCTTTAAGAATAATTCTTTGTATTTTTTTTTTTGTTTTTTGTTGGTTTTTTGTTTTTTTGGCGAGTGATACAAAAAGTTTTTCAGCTTTAAAATAACCTACAGAAGTTTGATAAACAATTCATTACATTGACTTACGCGCAAATAATCATGGGAAAGTTATGAATTCACCTCTTCTAGCCCCAACTATGGATTAAATGTTTGGACTTGTATCTAAAAATCATTATTATCTCCAAGAAATTTTAATACAATATTCACTCGCAAAAGAAAATTAATTTTACCCCCAAAATTTGTTTGAAAAAATAAACTTACAAAAGGTTGATAAGCCATAAAAAATTATTCCAGCAATAAAATTCTTTCTTCTCTTTTCTCTATTTTTCGTTCATTTCTCTTCCCCTCCTTTCTTCCATCCTATTCCCTGAAGAAAACATTGCTCTCTCTTTCTTGCATACTTTCTTTATTTTTATTTATCTATTTACTTGTGTATTTCTTATTTTTCCCCACTAAATAAGACAGCGTCTTTGAAATAAATTTCCTTGCAAACAAAACGAAATTGGTCCATTATTTATCTGTGTCAATGACTTGTTGTAACGGTCGGATGAATGGAGGAGCAGGCAGAATTATGTCTGTTGTCCTTCGAATCCGAAGATGACGTGTCGTATCTGCTTCTCATCTGTGAACTCGAAGGTGACTCCGCAACCCCAAGCTGGAGGCGCAGGGTCTGGAACAGTGGGGGCATTCAAAGTCTGTTGTCACAATCACTGTTGACGATGCTCTGTGACAGTGATCTCTGGAAGCTGTGAGCTTCCGGCGTCGAGCATCCTCGAAGGTAAACAGCAGCATTATGGATTGTGATTCGCCAACGTGGTCGATCACTGGCACGCTCCTCCAGTTCTTTGGGTTCGAGGTTGCACCCCTGCAGATTTGCTTTCACAGTGTCTTTGTACCGCTTCTTTGGACGACCTTAGTTTCTTTTGCCGTACAAGAGCTCTCCTAACAACAGGCGTCTTGGCAAGCGGTGCTCCTCCATGTGGATGACATGCCCCACCCATTAGAGTTGGGCCTTAATGAAAATGGACTCAATGCTTGAGGAATGATCACGATCCAGGACCTCACATTTAGTATCCAGTCCTGCCAGCGAATTCTGAGTATGGAACGGGGAGCTCGGATACGGAAGTTCTCCAGTTTCTTGATGTGTCCGCGGCATAGCGTCCAAGATTCACAACCATATAGAAGGGAGGGCAAAACCACTGCATTGTACACTCTCAGCTTTGTAGTCAGCCGAATGCTTTGCTGACGGAGCATTCTGTTGCGAAGTCTTCCTAATGCCTGACTTGCTTTGCTGATTCCGGCAGCAATTTCCTTGTCTAAGGAGCCGTCACGAGAGATGGTACTTCTGAGGAATTTGAATTGCTCAACATTAGCAATCTGTGTGTCATTGGTGACGATGGTCGGTGCTGAGGTGGTTGTGTTTGCTGTGGACTAATGAAGTACCTCTGTCTTGCCGAGACTGATTGTCAGTCCGAAGAGCTTGGAGGCGTCAAAGAAGAGGGCCAGGATCAGCTGCAGATCAGACTCTGCATGGGACACTAGTGCACAGTCATCAGCAAAGAGGACTTCCTCGAGGAGATCTTGGAGGCTCTTTGTCTTGGCAGTGAAGCGACGAAGGTCGAAGAGGGAGCCGTCCAAACGGAAGTGAATGTAGACTCCCTGCTCCAGATCCTGGAGCAGGAAGTCTACATTCAGGCGAAGACATTGAATAGGACCGGGGCTAAGACATAAGACATGAAATGGATTAAGAAAAAAAGGACGGAAAACAACGTGTCAAACTACCAAGAGGGGGGATCTAAAATAGAGAATAATGCACATGTTGAAAGAAAACTCGTCAGATAAGATCGAACTATAAACACCAATATAGAAGATGAAAAAACGAATTTTGTAAAGAAAACCGTTAGCTAGGCATACGTAGATATTCAAAAAATGAAATATATATGAAGAGATAGAAATGAATAAACTTGGATGGATAGAGAAAGAGAGATAGATAACCAGTTGTAATAAATTAATTAGTTGAGATAGATAGATAGATAGATAGATAGATAGATAGATATTAATTAGTTGAAACAGATAAACGATGAATTAGTTAAAATAGATATCATAGATAGATATGAATTAGTTGAAATAGAGATAAATAAATATGAATTTGTTAAAATACATATGAATTAATTGAAATAAATAGATAGATAGATAGATAGATAGATAGATAGATAGATAGATAGATAGATAGATAGATATGAATTACTTGAAATAGATAAATAGATATAACAAATTTAAATAGATAGATATGGATGGTATGATAGTAAGGATTATTAACTTTAAGGGAGTTTTTTTTTAATTCAGAAAGTGAAACGGGGAAGAAAAAAAGGTCCAATGGACTGCTTTACACTGTTGCGGATTCGAAAGTGTCCGTCACGTTACCACTGGAGAGGACCTGACCAGTCATGCCGTCATGGAAGATCCTAATCATTGTCACGAACTTCGGTGGGCATCCGATGCGCTCAAAGACTGTCCAAAGTGCTTCCCTGTTGACCGTGTCAAAAGCCTTGGTCAGGTCAATGAAAGTGAGGTGTTTTGACATACTGAGGGGGGATGCGCTTTTCATGAGGCGTTCATTGATTCCAACTGGGAGAACTGATATGCTTTTAATCAGAGCTGTTCTGATCGCAAAATCCTACGCCATGAATCATGTTTTCAACTTGAGATTTTCCTTTCCAGAAGAAGCTGTATCCACCCTCTTCTTCTCTTAGGGAACCTTCATCGGCAAGCCGGGTTTCGCTGAGTGCAGCAATGTCTATTCGGTATCGCTGGAGTTCTTTTGCGACAACGGCTGTTCTTCTTTCTGGTCTCGATGGTACTGGCTCCATCCAGCAGTGTTCGAATGTTCCAGACTCCCAAAATAAGCTTCTTGTGATTTTTCCTTTGCATTGTTCGACCGCAACTGCTGTAAGCTGACCAGACTAAAAAAAATGGCTAGAATTTGTTTGGGACACCTTTTCTAGCCCCCTCCTCCATGTGAGGGTGGACAGTGCTGTCCTAAGGAGGCTGCCCAGTCACCCATGGGTGCTGTCGGACCCTCCTGTTGCAGATTCAGGAAAGGAACGACCACTTGGCCATGGACCTCCTACATGCAGAATTGTGACTACAACCGCCAGTTGTCACCTCCAACTGTTGCTTTGCCTTGTGCCCATCGCCGCACGATTTGACGGGTGTGCGTTGACAGATCAGTGATGAGTTGATGATGATTAATGAATAATGAGTTGCATAACGGACCTGTGCGTGAGGATTTTATAGTGAGAACATCTTTGCCCGGGGGTAATCTCTCTCTCTCTCTCTCTCTCTCTCTCGCTTTCTCTCTCTCTCTCTCTCTCTCAGCCTGGGAAGTCTTGATCCAGTGGTACGGGAAGCCGTTACGACAGGATACTGCCAGGCTGCAGTGGATGACCAGGACTTCTTTAGGTGCGGAGGCTTTAAAGGTTACTCGTATGTAAGTGTGTAGGTCCACATAAACATTCCAGGAGATGCCATTTCATAATATATATATATATATATATATATATATATATATATATATATTAAAAAATGGACAAAGTCCGACAATTTATTTATTAAAGACATTTTTTATGTTTAACGTTCTTTTTTATAGATACAGGTATTTAAGTAAATGCTCTGTTTATAATAAACAGTATTAAATAACATTTACCGGCCTGAATGTCCGAGAAATTTTCATAAAAAATATTCGTCCTTTGACAGGATTCGAACCTGCATCCTATACGGAACCGTCATTTACGCTGACGTGCCTTACCGTCTCGGCCACAAAGGAGCGTTCGGTAAGCAAGTTTATAAGCAGTAAATTCGACCTTGCCTTTACTTAAATACTTGTATCTATAAAAAAGAACGTTAAACATAAAAAATGTCTTTAATATATATATATATATATATATATAATATTATAAATTAATTGATTTAAAATATGTTTTTCGCTACACAGTTCTAACCATGTTTCAAAAATGGAAGCTAAAAGCCCCGAATTTAATTTTGTAATTAAATTAAAGACATTAGTTCCATTTCATCCTTAAGCGAATTTTGGAGTAACTTTTAAAATTACTGGGTTTTAAAGACACAGCTAAAATCATAATTAACGTTTCCAAGGTTACAGATAAATCCACTTCCACTAGACAAGGGGTGTCTGCGTATTCATTATCGCTGTATTTTGATGTATCAGTAAATTTACATTGAGCACTATTTTGTAAAAAATAAAATATATCTATAAGAACACCGGATTATATATCTTTGTTCTGTTCTTTTTTATATATATATATATATATATATATATATATATATATATATATATATATATATATATATATATATATATATATATATATATGGGGTGTCCATAAAGTTCGTGTAGACTTGAAAAATTTATAACTTTATTTGGATTTGCGATAGAAATAATTTGTAAAAAGGATTAGAAATAAATAAATCTATATTTTTTAAGGTTTTATTGAAATTTTATTTAAGTTTCCACATATTGATATCCATCGTAGTCCTTCGGGTAATGTCGGACTCGTTGCTTGCGCATCCATATTTAGAAAGTTATGGATGAAGGATGTCTTCGGAAAAAATATTAAATACTTTTGGGCGGAAGTGTAAGATATAATGCGACAAACATGATATCAAAATGTAAGCTCATTTCTAACGATCTGCTAACAACGACACACACATATAAATATTACAATTTTGTTCACACACACGAACACACACACATAATTATATATATATATATATATATATATATATATATATATATATATATATATATATATATATATATATATATATATATATATATATATATATATATATATATATAGGTTGTCCATAAAGTTAGTGTGCACTTTAAAAATGTATAACTTTATTTGTATTTGCGATAGAAATAATTTGTAAAAATGATTAGAAAGAAGTAAATCTATATTTTTTTTACGGTTTTATTGAAACTCCATCATTAGCAATGCAAATGGTAATACGATTTTGCAGTTCACGGAAATCATTTGTCAACTGATTTACAGTAATGCCTGAAATCACATTAGTTATTTTACCTATATTTTAAACTAGGTACATTAAACTTTATAACATTTTTTACAGATTATTTCTATCGCAAATACAAATAAAGTTATAAATATTTTAAAGTGCACACGAACATTATGGACACCCTGTATATATATACAGCAAAGGAAGGAAGGAAGGAAGGAAGGAAGGAAGGAAGGAAGGAAGGAAATAGACGAATAAAGGAAATGCAGAAGAGAAAAGAATAGGATGAAGAAAGAATGAAAGAAAAAGGAAGTAAGAAAAAATAGAAAAGGAAGGAAAATAGAAGAAAGAAAAGGAAATAGACGAAAAAAGAAAGAAAAGGCAATAAAAGAAAGAAAGAAAGAAAGAAAGAAAGAAAGAAAGAAAGAAAGAAAGAAAGAAAGAAATAGAAGAAAGAAAAAGAAATAGAAGTAAGAAAGAAGCAAGTAACATAAGTGGAAGTGATAAATTAAGAGACTATAATTAAAAAGAAGAGAAGGAAAGAAAAAGTCAAGAAAACCGAATGAGTTATATATCAGGATATCAGTATATATTTGCTATTTTAAGTGTATTTTCTTGATATAAACTTACTTGTTTTTTGGATATTTGTCTATCCCAAGGGAAGATATGGAATCGCTTTCCCCTACGCCTATTCGGTCTAACGGGCCCAGATAACGAGAAATAACGCGAGACTTAGACATTAATCAAGACGCCATTTTGTGAGAGATAATCTGGTTAAAGATATTTTTGTTTTTTTACTGTTCAAGTTTGTGTGTGCGTGTGCCTGTGTATGCGTGTGTGCTTTTATTAGATGAAGCATGTGTGTGTGTGTGTGTGTGTATGTGTGTGTATGTAAGTGTGTTTACGAATGAGAAGTGGTTGGTTTTATTTACGCATTTTGACTTTGGTTATTTTCCGCTCACTTTTATATCAGTTTTAGGGAATCTAGACTCTGCTGTGTGGGCCTTAAATAAAATATAGCTTAATATCTCAGATTGCTTTTCGATATGCGTGTAAACTAATAAACAGTAGCGTTTAAGTTTTCCTTCCTATTCTTCTGTAAAACAGCAACAATAATGTATAAAAAGAGACTAAATAAAACAAAATAGATGGAGAAATGTCCTTAATCGACATTTTCATCATCAGAAACGTTTCGACTTGAAATCAGTATGGGTTCTCATCTTCAGCATATTCTCGTTTCCGAGCATGCCCATAAGCTCTGGCGCATTTGTCTTTCTTCAACACCTAGAGAGTCGGCCTGTGGATTATATTGTAACTATGCTGAGCGGACCTTAGTTACAGTTCAACTCTGTGTCCCACCAGTGCCACATATTGTTTTTGATTTCAAAGTTGCCTTTCTAGACTCGTTACAAAAACCATGACTATTTAACCGCTGTCTAGGGTGATTTTCTAAGCGTTGCTCAGATGTGCCACAAGACCGAAAGTTTCGGGACACTCAGTGAGGATCGAACTCACTCTTCTGTCGTAACTGGTCGAGCGAGACAAGACTGATAACCATTACACCACGTTTATGTGCCCATTAATCGATGTCTATGGGTAGAAAAAATGGATTCGTCCCTTTGACAAGGGTGACTGTGCGAAAGTGAACAATTCAACTGGAATTCGAACCCGGCTCGCCGATTTTGTGTTTTGAGCTTCTAACCATTACATCAATTGCACACCCTTGCATAATTACCAGCTGTCGAAAAATTACATCAGAAATTTTCTGGGTTTTTTTTTTTTTAATTTCTTCATTTTTTATTTGGGGTGTGCATTGTCGGGTAACGGCTTGGTATGAGAACTCGATAGAGCCGAGTTCGATTCCCAGTCTGGCTTATTACAAATAACCTTGAGAAATAACCTCTAGATAGTTATGAATCCATCTCTTCTCCCTCCAGCTATAAGTTCAATAGCAGGACAGACTCGATCCTGTTGCCTTGGATAGCAACCAGTCTAACGCAGAAAGAAACGGCAACCTACTGCGGGAATATCTCCTGCTTAGTCAATCATGAATCGAAATAGAGATGATTGTCCAAACGTGTATCGTATATGGCACTTAACTGACTGACTGATCCATGGGTACTATGGACATGGTTGGCAACCAGTCTACCGCAGAAAGAAACGGCCACCTACTGCGGGAATATCTTCTGCCTCGTCTGTCATGAATTGAAATGGACATGGTCGCCCAAACGTGTCTTAAGTATGAAACTTAACTGACTGAATCGATCGGTGCTGTTCATGAAAATTTTTACTGCCATGCAAAAAAATCTTGCTTCTTAACTTTTCAGTCATCTACTAACTGGTTGGTCCATCAGGACCCCTCCATGTGTGATCTTAGGGGTTTCTGAGGCGCAATATTAGCAAATACAAGGTGCTACTCTATGTGTTCCAGCAGTTTCCATCTTATTCGTAATAATTAAGTTCCATCCATTGTCCAGTAAGGATCTTTTAATATGACACTATTGCAGTTCAATGCCACAAATCTGGTCTGTCAAACTTTGCCATTAACCACATCCAACACTCTACCGATGTCTTCAACGTAAAGACGGATATGCAATATGATAAGTCCTGCTCTGGCATCCCGACTACAGTCACTTTCTCACAGACGTGCTGTGGTTTCTCTCTGTCTTTTTTCAACTATTTTCACGGCAACTGCTCCGACGAGCTACTTTCACTGGTTCCCAAACTGCATGAATTTAAGCATGCTACTAGATTGGCATCTCGGTCCCACCCTTTCACTGTCGAAACAGCTAAATGTAGCCGTCTCTTCTGCTCCAACAGCTTCTTATCTCGCACTTCCCGACTGTGTAACTCTCGTCTTCTTATTTACTTTCCTGGTAGCTATAATCTTCAAATAATCAAACGTAATGTCAATCGACATCTTCTGATGCCTTGATTTTGTTCACCATCTTTCTCTTTATTCTTTCCCCAAACACTCCTCTTTACTCTTGCTCTCCGTAACCACTTGCGCGCTAGTGGAACTCCCGCCTTGTTTGGGTTGATTTGCTTAAAAAGAAAAAAAAGTTGGGGGGGGGGGATTCAGATTGCTATGCTTTGTCAAAGGGTTATTCGTGAATTGGTCGCATATGATTTTAAATTCAAATTTGTCCTTCTGTACTAATTGGCAACTACGGCTGGTGAGCCCAGTCTTACACACTGTTTAACCCATAGGGTGGAGAAGAGGTGGATTCATACATTTGGTGGGTTGGCATCAAATATAAATCAAACATGGATCGGAATCCGACAGAGTGATAAGATAAAGAAGAAATTATACTCCCGTTTGTTTAACAAGTCGAATGTACGTGAAACATGATTAACCAACAAAAATCAAACACAAAAGTAAAAATATTTCTTTCTTCTTTTTTCTTCATATCTCACTCTCTAAGGAAGCCTTAATAAATAAAATTAAAAAATTATAATATAAACATGTTATAAAATCACTACAAAAGTTAAGTTTAAATTTTTAATAAATAATATTTGCTCTACTCTGTATTGAGCACTCTTAATAGAATAGTGTTTTAGGGTATTGAATTTTATTCCGTCCACACCAGTCCTACACTTGCATATATATATATATATATATATATATATATATATATATATATATATATATATATATATATATATAAAGAAAGAAAGAAAGAACATTAAGATATGTAATCCGGTGTTCTTATTGATATTTTATTTTTACAAAATAGTGCTCAATGTAAATTTACAGAGCATTAATATTATAAATTAACTGATTAAAAATATGTTTTTTTCGTTACACAGTAATAACCATGTTTCAAAAATGGAAGCTAAAAACTTCAGATTTAATTTTGTAATTAAATTAAAAACATTTGTTCCATTTCATCCTCATGCGAATTTTGGAGTAACTTATTTTTTAAATTTACTGTGTTTTAACTGCAAGGGAAATTCATAATTTACAGTTTACTAAGGATACAGAGAAATCCAATCATTCAGACAAGGGGTGGTAGCGTGTTCATTTTTATTAATTTTTATTGTATCAGTTATTTGTTACGTTCGAAAAAGGGGTTAAGTTTAGGTACGGGTGGAGATGTATTTTTCAATGAATTCTGACATCCGTTACATATATATATATATATATATATATATATATATATATATATATGTGTGTGTGTGTGTGTGTGTGTGTGTGTGTGTGTGTGTAGGATTGGAATGAACGGAATAAAATAAAATTTCAATTATTATATATATATATATATATATATATATATATATGAAACTTTTATCATTCTAATGTGTTTCATATATATATATATATATATATATATATATATATATATAGAGAGAGAGAACGTTTATCATTCTAATATCTTTCACTGTGATTAATGGATTAACCAAGAAAAATGAAACAACACAAAAGCAAAAATACCAGAATTTCCTTCTTTTTCTCCATTTCTCATTCTCTGGTGAAGTTTTAATAAAAGTGAAACATGTTAGATTGATAAATGTCTCTTAATTGTTCTTTGTCCTGTCATCCATACCTTTCCCAAAGGTATGGTTGATAGGATAAAAAAAGTAAGTAAATGGAACTCGACTCGAATTCGAACTCGGCTCTTTTATTTCTCACATCCCTTTGAGTTCTACGTTCCTGAACAATTTTAACTCTTGTACCTAAGCTCCTGAGCCAAAATCCGCAAATAATTGGTATGTAATATTTCACAGATAGAGGCACGGTGGAGTAATGGATAGCGGCTTGGATTGAGGTATCGGAGAGCCGCGTTCGAATTCTAGTCAAATCCATTACATTCACTTACGTGCTAATACTCTTGGGAAAGGTATAAATCCTCTTCTTCTCGCTCCAGCTGTGGGTAAAATAGCAGGACAAACCGGGTTCTATAGCCTTAGACGGCAACTGGTCTACCGCAGAAAGGCAACCTACTGCGGGAAAAATCTGCCTCGTCAGTCATGTATCGATAGATACATGATCACCTAAGCGTGTATCACGCATAACACAAAAATTATTGTTACTCATGTTTCACAGCATATATAAAAATAGTTACGAGTGTTTACCACCGTTCAACCGATTGCTGGGTATAAAGTCATTTTTCTCTACCGCCGGTAAAACGGTGGTCAGGGCTCAAAGGTTTAAGTATTAATCTTTAGATCCAACATTGTCGACATTGTGGTTAATTTTTAACTAGTATTTACTTCCATCTTAATTTGCCCAAGATAAAACATTGTCAATTACTGTTATTAATTTTTGTCTAGTATTTTCATTTTTATTAGATGAAGCGTTAATCATCATTCTTACAATGATCATTATTATAATTATCATTATTATAATTATCATTATTAATATTAAAATTTAGTTCCCTGTTCATTTCTTATTAAATAAAAAACTGTCAACCATTTTTATTAATTTTTGGCTAATATGTACTTTTGTCTTCATTTTTCATGAGATGAAGCGTTTTTCATCAGATGTCAGTCATTATTATTAATTCACAATTACAGACAAACCTCTCATTAACGGACTAATAGGGGAATTGTTGGTCCGTTAAATCCGATTATCCGTATATGTGAAGGGATTATTTTTGAGTCATAAAACCAGTAACTGCCAGTAGTTTTGATCATAATGTAAAGATCATAAACATGTATATATGACATAAATAAATATATATACAAATATTGTATATATATATATATATATATATATATATATATATTAATCAAAATA